AACCCTGTTCGCCAGCGCGTCCCCCAGAAGGGGCACGGCACGCGAAAAGGCCAGCAGCTGTTCTCCTCACACGGACCCGTAGGGACTCGTCTGATTCAGCGAGCCTCTCTTACGGGGCCACCTCTGAACTCGCCCCCTTGAGCTCAAGGGTATGCCCCCTGCCTGCCCCATGAGAAGTCTGGGGCTGCGGCATAATCCAATCGCAGGGGATCTTGCTAGTTGCACGCACAGCTCCGTCGTAGGTGTTGACGTTGACCCCCATTCATGCGGATGAGCATGACCATGACCTCCTCCTCCTCCTCCTCCTCCTCCTCCTCCTCCTCCTCCTCCTCCTCCTCCTTCTCTTTCTTGTTCGACGACAAGCTGGGGCACTGAAACCGCCCAGGCCTACATCGTGCCTGGCGCCCTTCCTCCGCCTCCTCCTCCTCCGCCTGACTTTGTACAGAGGGATTTCGTGAACGTGAAAGCCCACACCTCGATGCGAGCGGTCCAGGAATGTAAGATTCCACCCTTCGACAATGAAGGCCAACAATTACTGGCCAGTGGGCCTAGAAGGGAGCCGCTCTCGCTCGCCCGGAGCTCAGTGACGTGCACTGTTGGGAAGGATGTAGGGCGGTGGCTTCCCAGGTAGGTAGGCATGCTGCAAGGATGTCGAAGCTGATAGCAGATCGTGGGCTCAGAGACCACTTGGGTTTAATGTGCCTGACAACGGTTGATATTGGGGCTAGGCCCCCCAATGTGCCATATCCTGAATCTGACCCTGGGTCGGGAGACGAGGCGCGGAGCCTCAATAATAGGGGGAAAACAAACCTACCTCGCTTTTGACCACCCTCGCTTCCAAGAGATACCAAACGATGCCAGATTGAAGCCTGTACTGGTCAGGCCGCTTGACGAGGAGGCGCGTGGTATGACTTGGTTTTGTCTGGAAGCGAAAGCGGGGGAGGTAATTCACGCTCTGAAATAAGGCTCGGAGTCTAGACCATCCCGAGGGCCCGTAGCTCATCCAGGACCACCAGGTGCTTGAGGCGGACGTGGAAGACGGCAAATCAAAGCCCATGTTGGTCTGTCGTTGGTCCTGGCAGTACGCTGCGTCTCATGGCCAGCAGGGGCTCAAAGTGCTTGTGTATTGGTTGTCGTCACCTCTCTGGAGGCAAGGCCTTGACCACACGTAATCGCCTGCGCAGCTCAAAGCGACTGACTCGTCCCCAAAAGGCCCTGGGGGGATGGTCGACCGCCGTCGCTGTCGCGTCGGGCCCGCCGGGCGGGCCACTTCGGGGAGTCTGCGGCTGGTGAGCAAGTGGCGAAGGGGAGAGGTCCCCTCGCTTCTCCAGCAGGGGCCGCTGCCTCGGGTGGATCTGTCTGTCAATATCCGTGCGGCAGGTTTCGCTTATCGAGGTGAGGCGGAGCGGATCGGAGTGCAGAGGCGCGCGTTCGGCGCGACGCTCGGCCCGATGATGTCCCCGGGTGACTTTCGAAGGGTGGGGAGCCCTGTCGGCGGGATCCGCCCGAGGTGGATCGCAGCCTCGGGCGGGGAACAAAAGTTCTCCTTGGATGGGCACCCCACCCAAGGTTTTTTCCTCTCTCCCCTTTGACTCCTCCCTTTATGGGCGTTGAACCTCCTCCTTCTCCTCCGCCTCCCTATGTCATGTCCCCATGCCGTCCTCATTCGTGGCCTCCTATTTTCTCATTATTCACCCTGCGCCCCCCCCTCCTGATCCTCCTCCTCCTCCTCCTCCTCCTCCTCCTCCTCCTCCCCCTCCTCCTCCTCCTCCTCCTCTTCCTCCTCCTCTTCCTCCTCCTCCTCCTCCTCCTCCTCCGCCACAAGAGGCCCAAGGATCCCTCGACCACAATGGATGAATCCGTGTCGCCACGTGTACAGAATCAAGCCCCTGCCTCGCCCGGGCAACTTCCAAGGGTTTCTCACGTCGTCCAGGGGTCGGCGTGATGGCGAAAGGTTCTTGAACTGCGTTGTGGCATTCCCACACCCACGCGCTGCGATCGATGGAACACGTCCGAACCGCAGCGAGTCACAATGAAACAATTTGATGTTGGTAGCCGCCGTGACGAAAAAATGCAAGTCGAGCACACAAGCGGGAGTCACCGTGCAAGTCCGAAGCGTTTGCAACACACCCGTCCATCATCTCACGTTCAATGCAGTGGATCCGACGTTGATGGCAGCCCGCTCACCAGTGAGATGTCCCGGACGTGTCCAAAAACAAAAAAAAAACACTGAACACTAACGCAACTTCGAAATCCGCCGCAATGACGGAACACGAGAGATCGCGCCAAACCGAAAAACACATCAACCAGCCGGTCAAACAACTTAAGGACACAGGGGGCCCTGGTCAGGCAGAGCCGATTGATGCAAGGGCGCA